CAGAGACAGAAACCTGTCTCGGCAGGTTGAATGAGGGAGTAAAGAAGGCAAATATAGAGGTAAATGAGGGGAAGAGCTTAGAGCTCCCGTGTATGTAGGAATGCCTTAATGTTATGGCCTAGAAACAGTGAATTAGCACATAGACGAGCTGGTCACAAAATACTGACTTTGGGAAGTAAGGAGGGAATTGCAGTGGCTCAAGAGAATCAACCAGAAAGAAACTGCAAATGTAACCCAGTCGTAGTGGTGCACACCTTTTGTCCCAGCACTCAGAAGGCAGAAGCGGGCAGATCTCTGAGTTCGAGGCCAGCTTGGTTTACAGAGTGAGTTCCAGGACAGCCAGGGCTACGCAGAGAAACCCTGTCTCAAAAACCAAAGCAAGCAAGCAAACAAACAAACAAAAAAGAACAAACAAGAAAAGAAGTTGAAATGCGTGTAGTAGCAGTCAAAGAGGACAGGAAGTTAGCAAGATGTAGGCCATGGGTAGAAGAAGGGCCCAAGATTAGGAAAAGGGCCTAATGTCTGGTCTAGGGCCCATCTCACTTAACACAGTTGATCAGCAGAAAGATCCTAGGAACTTTGTATACTTCAATTGTTCAAGGTCACATAGCTAGTGAGTGACCAAATGCCCTGTAGAGAACAAAGATGAGAAAGAGGCTTGCTTCTCTATGGTCTGAGCACCAAGGACTGTGGAGGAGCCCAGATCAGAGAGGGCTTAGATATGTAACTTAATAATGGACCTCAAAAGTCTGGGAAACAGAAACAAAGCAAACCCAAACCCAGTAGACAGGAAGGAATAATAGAAATCAATGCAACAGAGGCCTGAAAGACAACACCAGGACTCACTGAAGCAAGGAGTTGGTTCTCGAGAAGACAAGCACGGCTGACAAACTTAGCTGGATTAACCAAAAGACAGAGGGAGAAGAACCCAGTTAGCAATGAGACTACAGTCCCAGCAGGCATCTAACAGTGTCTGCTTTAAGCAGTGGGGGAGATTATCTGGGAAACGAACCAGTGAGTGTGGGTCTTAGTGAGAACGTTTGGTATGCACAGTAAAACGGAGAGTTTTTCCTGGAATAGTGAGTTTAGAAGAAGCTATCTGGACCGTGAAAATGATACCCAGTTATATTTAGGGGGAAGAGAAATATAAGCATGTTTGAAAATACATGTGAATGTGGGAAACCAAAAACTCAAACGCTAGCGGAGAAGTGCAGCCTGGCTGGAAAAGCCGGCAGAGTGCTAACCATCCTGTGGTTTGGAAGGTATTTCTCACATGTTGCTGGTTTTGAGGCTCACATCCTACAGGAAGTGGGTACGACCACGTCAGCAATCAGGAACTTGAAGTTCTGAGAGAGAGGGTCATTACCAAAAGAGGTGTCTAATATAGCCTTGGTACAGAGGAATTATCTGACTCTCAAGATGGCAGAGAAGGAAAGAGAAGGACTATGAAGGACACTGAAGATTTGACCTGATGGTGGCCGTAACGGAGAGAGTCAGTGTAGGGACTATTCTTTGATGTTTGCTTCAAATGCATAGTACTCTGTATGTGGCTTGCTAAGAGACACAGAAGGGAAGAGATCCATGAGCTTCCTTTTCACTCTCCACATGGGCTAACTTTCCACGGTCGTTCAGGGTTCCGTGAGGGTGTTATTGATGAGAGAATCACTGTCCATTTGCTTAGTGCGGTTACATGAAGCCAGCTGTTCTCTCAGTTCTACATCCGTGCATCATACATTCTTTGCATATTTAAATCCGGGGCACGTGAGCTGAAAGTAGATATTTCCCCCCTCTGGTCCTTATTCCACAGATATTGGGTAAAGTATCCCCATGTTTGATGAAGACACCAATATTATCTGTAAGAATGAGAGTGGACTCTTTGTTCTGAGACGTCCAGTAGAATGCAGTTTGGAGCAATCTGAAGCACAAAGCAGCTTCAAGGAAAATCCTAACCGTATCAACATAGAGGAGCAGCACAGTGTGGGCTTCCAGACTCCTCTGCTCTCCCAGAGTGCACTGTTATTCTTCTCTCGGGGCTAACTCTGCCAGAGTAGAAGACCAGGCAAAGAGGATGCTGTGAGCTAGGCCAGAGAGATGAACGCTTGGTGAGCGAGCATTTAGGAGCTCAGTCTGAAGTGGACCGTCTAAGGAGATGGTCACTCAGATAAAAGTTAGAAAAATTAGTGCCTCCCCACCCCAAAGAAATAATAAAACAGTTGGGAAACCTCTAGAGGAAATGAAATTTTGGTGATGTTATGGATGCAAAATGCAATAAAGAATGTGTGTCTCTTTATCTTCAACCCTAGTAGGGTTTTAGAACTTTGGTAATAGCCACACCGAGGTTGAACAGGAAACATGAATTGTGATGTGTCTTTTCTTTTTTTTTCTTTTTTTTTTTTTTTTTTTTTTTGTTTTTTTGTTTTTTTGTTTTTTTGTTTTTTTGAGACAGGGTTTCTCTGTGTAGTCCTGGCTGTCCTGGAACTTACTCTGTAGACCAGGCTGGCCTCGAACTCAGAAATCCGCCTGCCTCTGCCTCCCAAGTGCTGGGATTAAAGGCGTGCACCACCACAGCCCGGCTGCGATGTGTCTTTTCAACTCAGCCATTAAGCTTGGAGTTCCACAGTTCTCCAATTCATCTGAACATGGAGATAGAATGAGTAGTTTTGTTTGGGGGCAGGCAGGTTTGTTTGTTTTGTTTTGTTTTGTTTTGTTTTGTTTTGTTTTGTTTTGTTTTGTTTTGAGACAAACGTCTTGCTGTGAAGCCCTAGCTCTCCTGCATTTCCTATGTAGCCTAGGCTGGTTTCAATCTTACAACAATGAGTCCTTTTTCTTCAGCTTAAGTGCTGAGATTATAGTCCTTTACTGCCATGTCTGCCCGACTAGTTGTTTTTAGATTTTTGTATATTTCTCTTTTGTTTTGCATGAAAATTTGGGGTATCTATCTGCAGGTTCAGTGTAGAGGTTGCAGTGACTGTGCCAGGGAGCAGTAATGTCCCTCTTCCGAGTACAGATCCTGCACAGGATCTAGAACTTTCAAACGAGTCCCAAGTGAGCCATAGGCTATGTTTGTCAACAGGGTAAATTTTGTAGCAGCCAAGCAAGCATGTACAGCTGCTTTGGGCCTCTATACCAGCTGCCAACAGGGTGGAGTTTCTGGCTCTTTCCCCAGAGTGTTTCAGGTTGAACCAGAAGCTAGACTTTCTGGGGCTGGGACATCGTCACAGTGGCGCAGCAGTGTGGAGATTGTTTTGGAAAGAAAGAGAGGTTTGGAGTAGAGAAGCTGCTGAGGTCTGCCTCCTCACCCACTTATTTCTCTTCCCATCTTCATCTCGTCCCCTGACCCCCAGTCATCTTGCCACCTGAGATAAGGAGCTGTCTGAGCCTGAAGCACACTGCAGAAGGGTGAGGTTTGGAGGGTGAAGGTTCGGTGTGGGTGTGGGGGGTAGAGGGAGAACTTATAGAACCTGTTTTCTGGACTCAGTCTTTGGGTGTGCCTGGGTTGTGTTGATTTGATTTGGTTTCCCCCTCCTTTCCCAAGTGCCATCTCCCTTAAGAATTTGTGTGTGAAGTATCTAGTGGGAAGGGACTTTTTCTAAGGTTGTGGTAGGGGTGTGGTTCACCTGTCCTAGGGTATTTCCCTTCACCAGTGTTGGAATGGGCCCACAGATATTATGAGTTTAACCCAAATGATCTGGAAACATCAGGGCTCTAGACACAGAACGGTTTCACCACTGTAGTTCTAGAGTCACTAAAAGATATCTGCCTTGAAAACAGTCTTCAGGCCCTGAACAGGGAGGTTTTCGAGAGCAGGCAGGTGGTGTGTGCCTTTTCTTTCATGACAATGTCACCAGCCTGATCTCTCTCACAGCTGCCATTCTGGGTACATGGCATGGCAAAGTGTAACCAAGGACGATCCATACAGTTCTCACAAATGTTTTGCCCACGGACACTTTGCAGTTGCTTACGAAAGATGCAGTTAGAACTGAACATGGTGGTGGTGATGTTAGCTCACAGTGTGGCTGCTATCCACCCTCATTCTCCTCCACTCCATCTGTCGATTTCCACATGTTGGCAAAAGAGGTTCAAGCATGTGTAGGTCTGGATGTCTTGACAAGTCAAAGAGCAAACAAATCATGGTGTAATTGTCTCAAGAGTCACAAACTGTTCTTGCGTTCCAGCTTCGGTAAGCTTGGTTAGCTTCTGTATATAATCTCATCCCAGTGGATGCCTTAAGTTGTGACAAAGGAGATAGAATAATGTTGAAAACAATTATTTGTCAGCCATAATTGACAAATCTAAGTGCCCTTGGGCTTTGGGTTCAAAATTAGTCTCTTGCTCTGTATATAAGTAAATTTCAACGTGAACATTCTCTCCAGTACAGAAATCCTGATGACTGGCCTGAGAAACATCATGCTTCCTATCCTCATGTGCAGTATGCCAAGAACCTTTCTCATGTGCCATGAGCAGCAGTGCATTAGGTTCTGTCTCGTGGCGTTTTTCATTGTCTCTGATTCAGGTGGACTCCTGTAACTGGCACCTGAGTGGGAGCTGGGTTTTGAATCTCACTGCTATGGAATATATGTCCAACAAGGTTTCTATCCAAGTCCTCCTGCACCTGGGTCTTTGCAGCATGCCATTTGGATTTTAATGCTGTCCTCCTGTGGCATTGGATATAGTGCTCTCTGAGGATAAAGTGAAGCAGAATCCCTTATCTGTGGTACCCATAGGAACTCGAATGCTGTCAGATAATGACATGGGGAATCTTCTTTTTCAGATCAAATGTTTCACCTTTTGCATTTGGAGTTTCTCTGTGACTGTGTTCTCAACCTGTCACGGCCTCTTAATTAGAATGTACCGCTGGAGGACAGGCAGCGTCGTCAAGCTCAGCGCATCTTATAAGGGTGCACCAAAGTGCCAGACAGGCAGCTGGTGTGCAAGCTCATCCAGATTCGAGACCAAAACTCCCCAGACTAGTATTTCATTGTTTTCTCTCTTTGTTCCAGAAGCAAAGGCCGATAATGAACCGAGCTGTTCTCCAGCAGCTCAAGAACTGTTGACAAGGCTGGGATTTTTACTGGGAGAAGGGATCCCAAGCGCCACACACATAACCATTGAAGACAAAAATGAAGCCATGGTAATGCCAGAGGAAGAAAACTGCATTTCCTACCATGTATGGGAATGGGGTGGGGGGCTCACGTTATTGTTTGGTCAAATGAGTTCTGGGCTCTTGTGCTTTGAAACTTGTTACAGCACTTTGTTTCTGGGTCTCTGGAGGGGACGGTGGTGGAAATGGTTAAGGACAAACAGAAGGCATCAGAACTTAAGAAAATGTCCGTATTAACCTTACCTAGAGAATATTGGTACATGTAATATGGCTGCTTCAGTCTTGAGAGCACCGTTCCTCTCAATAGACTGCTTTGGTCTACGGTTTTCTGTGCTCCCTCAGCTGTTGGGGTTGGGTGGGGGTTGGGGGGTGGGAGTGATGAGTCAGTGGGATAAAGAAAATATCGATAGATGAGGTAGACACAAAATGGGAGTGAAGCAAATGTGTCATCCTTCAGGAGGCATACTCTGGCTCAGGGAACCCAGCCACTTCTGAGTGTGCAAGTGGCAGTGTGAAGGGCTGGAACTTCTGCCTCCCTCCACCCAGGGTCTCTGTGAGGAGGCCTGGCTGGCGAGAGGCATTGACAGAGACCGCAGTGGTCACCAGTGTCCTTTCCTGAACACACAGTTCATAAATCTTCAGGAATAGAGTCAGGCTGCTGTGCTTGTGAAACATTATAGAAACTCGGTCCCCAGGTTTCCTGCACAGAGGTCAAATAACCCATTTGTCTTCTGCAGGCTTTAAATGAAAGGAAGTCTGCCTGTTGGCCATCTCTGTTTTATGAGTCTGTGTTCCCACTGAAGTATTGCTAAGGCTGCCCTTTTAGTGAAACCTCAAAGGAGGCCACCAGAACGAAGGCACATCTCTTTTAGCATTTGGAAAATCGTGTCTGTCCCTATTTAGCTACAGAAGTTAAAAAATGCCTCCATTTGTCTTGTGTTTAAGGTTCATCATTTTGGCGTCCAAAACAAAACCATGTGTTGAAGCATACCGTGTAAGCCGTGTTAACTCCTCCCTCCCTCCCTCCCTTCCCCTTGCAGTGCACAGCCCTGAGTCAAGGCATCAGCCCTTGTTCCACGCTGACAAGCAGCACCGCCTCTCCTAGCACCGATAGCCCCTGCTCAACCTTGAATAGCTGTGTCAGCAAGACGGCAGCCAACAAAAGTCCCTGTGAGACCATTAGCAGCCCCAGTTCCACCCTGGAAAGCAAGGACAGTGGAATTATAGGTAAGAAGCACACTGCCAGTAGTGGAATGGCTTGATGCACGTCAGCCGGAACACTCATAGCCACCTCCTGAGAGGGGTTCCGTGTGGTCCGTGAAGGTCGAACTGCAGACCCCGCCCTGCTCACTGCTGACAGCTCGGGGCTGCCTGCAGCCAAGAGAATGAATTTCAGCTTCTGTATTTCTCCATGTTTATTTTATATCGCTGCACTCCTTTTTTTTTTTTTTAATTTAAACAAAACAAAACACCTTATCCGACCTGTCCTGTGAAGTTACAAAAACCCTCTCACCTTCCTGGTCAGTTCATTCCTTGGCATCAGGTCCCCTTTGGGCACCGTAGCAGGGTAATGAAATCCCTGCATATGAAGCAGTTTTACAGCCGAATCTCAAGGTTGCTCTCCTGCCTGATGACCTATAGGACCTGTGTTCTCTTGAGTGTTGCTTGTAAGGGGATCTGGTCACTGGTTTGAGTCCAGGGTTTTTTTGTTGTTGTTTTATTTTGTTGTTGTTTTTTTTTAAACAGATCTTGCCTCAAGTTTATTTGTAAAAACAGCATAGGACACTGGTCATCTGCAAATAGTGTATAGGTAGGTGTGTCCCAGCAGTCCATCTGTCTTCACACTGACAGGAGCCTTTTCTATGGGGCCTTCACAGGGGCCTGGGCACCTTTGGGAGACTGGGCTGGAGCTAAAGCCTGGGCCTTAGCTGGAGCTTTGGCCTCTGCCTTGGTTTGAAACTTGGGCTTTGGTTGGCAGAGCCTACAACCCTTGGCCATGTAGCTTCAAATCCGCTTCCCAAGCTTCGGGTGAGTGATGAAAGCCAGGCGGCTGAGTTTGTGGCTGGGGCCCTTTGGCATCTTGCTTGGGCTTGATGGCCTGAGGCTTCACAAGGGCCTTGTTGGCCTCTGGGCGTGCACTCACTGCCTTTGCATTGTTGGCCTTCGTCTTCTTCAGGTCTCTCTTGTGCTTCTTGGCAAAGCACATGTTACTCAGAAACTTGGGGGTCAACCCCCTTAAGAGATTCGAATCTTTATGACTAGGGTTTCTTGATGCCATTTCTGTGCCATTTGCGGGACTGGCTGTGTGTAGTGTGGTTCTTGGACTTGGCCACGGTTGCACGGTAACCCATGGCTTCTGGGATTGGAAGAGTGAGGCCAGGGTTTTCTAAGCCTTCCTGGGCCTCATGGTAGTTGCGGTCCTGCTGAGTTGAGGGTAAGAAGACTGAATTCTAACTGGCTTGAGCAACATTGAGTTAACTCCTTCACATACTTCCTTATCTAGAAAATCAAGGATTCAGGTTAATTCATTAGCCTGTAGACCCACTGTGCGATATTATCCGCCAGCAGACCGGTGCAGACGGGCGGGACTCCAAGGCATCACCCAAGCCTTCTGCCCTACAATCGTGTTGCTCTCACAGTGTGTCTCTTCTGAACAGTTTCCTGCTTTCCCTTTGCTGGGCTATGCCCGTGTCTTTAAGGGACTGTTGTGTGCCATTTTTCATCAGCTCTGTATCTACATTAATACATAGTCAAAAGACCTCTGAACTCCGTGTTCTCCAGTCACCTGTGCTTCCATCCAAGTAGAATTTAAAAAAAAAAAAAAAATCATGAGTTTGTCTAGTTCAGAGTTTGAAGATGCCCCCCAAGAGAGTCCTGGGGTCAGGCTGTGGGTTCGCTGTAGAACTCTGCATGTATGGGAAGGACTCACCTTCAGTCAGGAGGCATCTTCACTGACTTCGGTGGGACCCGGGCTGTTAGGGATCTGTTTTCTGTTGTGCTCGTTACAGTTTCAAAAAGTAACTTACATACAATATTCACTCACTTAAACTGTCCCTTAACTCCTAGTGTGTTCAAAACCATGTACCTGTCCTTACCAGCTGGTCTTAGAACACTGTCACCGTCGCCACGGGTGACATTCCACCAGTTTGAAATTGTCATTTCCCTGGGCATCAAGCTGCATGCTTCTGTCTGTGGTTGAGCTGATTTGGGGAATTCTGTATGAATGGAGGATTTACCGCAAATCTTTATTTTTTTATTTTTTTCTGGCTTCAAGGCCTTTCACTGAGCTGATCTAGCCAGTTGGCGTTCTCATCTACTCTACTTCTGCTTTATGAATTCATTTCAACACGCTCTTCCTGCGTTCCGGCTTCTCTTGAGCTCTGTTTCTGCACTCTCCTCAGCCGATTCAAATTCAATGGTAGCCACACAACTTCCTCAGCTCTTGAAATGCCATGTCCTTCTGAGAATTTAATCTCCCTTCAAGAATTTGGCCACAGCTACTGGACTTCTCATCTTTACTGTTAGTTCTAGACTTGGCATTGTGTGTTTTAAAGCTGCCATTCAAGCTGGAGGTCAGACGTTGACAATCGTGTTCAGGAACAGAACCACCATCTGCCATTTCTTTTTCTCTCACTCAGGTGCAGTGCTGAAATTTTGAAACTGACTTGTTTTGCAATACGAGGTATCAGACCCAGGCTCTGTACATGTGAACCAAGCGAAGTACAACTAAGCTACATCCCCAGCCCCTACTAGCATTTATACAAAGAAGCAAAGGTGCTCGATTAGCTCTCTGTACTGCCAGCAAAAGACTAAGCTGCCAGGAGGCTCTTAACTAACACTTGATTTAATGTAATCTCCCCCGATCTCTGCTGATCAGACTCCGTATTATACGCTCCTTTGGCACCACGGTGATTTCCTTCAGAGTACTTATTATTTAATTTTGGCTCCATGTGGATGGGGGCCGTGTTTTCCCAACTCTGGGTTCTTAGCCAAGTGCCAGGAAGAAGATATTAAGGAAAGAGTTGCTGCCACTCTGCAGCGGCACCGAAGCAGGAAATGTGTAGTTGCTTTATAAGGACTACTCGGGATTCCTATTTTGAGTTGGTTCGTTAAAACTTTTAATATCACGGTGTCTTAAGTTCTGAGGACCGTTTATGTCATCCACAGTGCCCTTTGCTCCTTGGTCAATATGTTCCCTTAACTTGGTTATGCATGAAGTACCAAAAGTATTGACCTGAAAGTAGGAAGGTGAAAGGGGGTTAGCAGTCTCTGGTGGGGGATAGGAGACCCCAGCTCCTGGAGAACCAGGATTGCACTGTCCTATCAAGGCCCTTGGTAGATGAGAGAAGCTGTGCTGGTGGCAACATGCCTCTGTTCTCTCCTCTGTGACCTGTGGCACTAAAGTCTGTTGCCAAGGTGTGGTGGGGAGGAGAAGGAATAGAAGCAAGAATTTCCTCTCTGGGCTGACTTGAGCTGCAGGTGTCTGAAGAGGCCAGAGTGGCGGGGCCAGAAAGGAGGAGCAATCTCCTCCTGCAATCTCTGCAGGCTGTACAGGTTCCCAAGCCCGAGCTGACAGGTATGGGTGCTGTATTTGTGGCTCTGTGATTGCCGGGGTGCGATGTGTTTTCTGTGTTCTGAGGAACTTGTTGAGTTTATGAACTGCAGCCTATGGTCCAAGCTCTTGGGGATTATAGGTGTTTAAGAAAGTAAAAGACTTAAGAACACTGAACGCTGTGATCTTAGGGAGTGGAAGTAAAGGTGGAATGAACCCTCTTTTCTCAACTCGGAAACCCTGGCAGCACCATTGTAGAATGTGTTGGAGAGGATTCACGTTCCAAATTATACACGGCCTGGAGGAGAGGGCAACCAGCTTTTCTTTAACTTTCCACTTTAAGTAGGGGTAGCCTTTTGAACCAGGTCAGCAGGGCATTGAATGGCAAAGACTGTGCAGTGGGGTGGGCTGCGTAAGACACAGGCCTCCTCAGTATTGTGTGCTTGGGTCAGCAAAAGGCTCAAAGCAGTGTTCTGAGCACAGTGTAGTCAGGGCATTAGGGGACATTTCAGAAAGTGCCAACCTGTCCTTGAAAATTCCTCAGCCTCCTCTAACTACTTAGGCTGATTTCCAGCATGCTGACTGCATTTAACCTAAATCGCTCCGCCCAGCAGATGCAGGGAGAGGAAGCTTGTGTAGCCACATGCCCGGGCAGCTTCCTCAGATACCACAGGTACCCTGTCTGCATTGGGTTTCCACAGTTTAGCCAAGGGGCCAATGACCATTAGAACACACCGGGCCCCCTTCCAATTCTTGCTCTGGGAGACCAGGGCTTAATGAACGTCTCTGCCCCTTTTCAACTTTGTCATGTGATCTAGAAGGAAGCCCTGCTTTATCCTATTTCAAGAGGTTCAGGTTCTCCCGAGGACGTTAAAGTCTTTAGAAGTGCAGTGATTCTGTCATGTAGGCATACTGGCTAAGCGACTGGGATTAACTGTATTCTATGTGAGAGTCTTTATTTATCTTAAGGAAAAGTTTTTCTGGCACTTACCCTTTACTTACTGAAACCGTTGGCATTACCTGGATGTGAGTGTCTGATTTTCAAATTTGCGATGTGAAAACGTGCTAAATGTGAACCCAGCTGTACCAGTCACAGTGAAAACAGCTTGCAGTCACTTGCTTTAAAAGCTTTTATAAAGAAACAGGCTTCAAAGGTGGTTGGTTCCTCTATGCCTGAGAAAACTGTTTTCTTACTGACACTCCTTTAAGTTGCTTCCAATTGTTACAAATGGAATTGTAATCTGTGTTAATCCTAGTTTAGAGGGAAAAGCCTACATATATTCATTTGAATAATAAATCTATTAGCATGTAGAATGTATTATATATATGGTAATGCAACATATATAAACTAATCTGAGCTTCAAAAATGTTCTAGAAATACTGTGTTTTAAAGCATATTCTGAGTTGTATCTGTTTAATTTTTATGTCCAAATGATGATAAATATTTGAAGTGTGTATACTTATTTCTAGAAAATAGATATTTTTCACTTAGGAAGACAAGATAGACTCATTTAGGAGAAGAAATACAAATTAATCCTGGCCTTTCTACCAGAATTTCATTCATACAAATATGTGGTGAGTTAGTTAATCTGCTTTGGCTCCCGGTGGGTTTGATATGACTTTTAAACACCCACCCAATGGCTGAATACTTCTAAACACCCACCCACTGCAGAAG